CTCTTATACACATCTAGATGTGTATAAGAGACAGGTGCAGAGCGCAGCGCGAGGCCGATTGGCGCTGTTTTTTTTTTTTTTTTTTTTTTTTTTCGCCTTTTTACGTGACCGGAGTACAACGATCGCGCAACTTGTGTTTTTTTTTGTCTTTTTGATTTCTCGATTTATGCTTGTCAGAACACTCATTATTATTGAAAATTTGTAGGGGCCAATCATGTTAATCTTCCTTTTCTGTAGCCGTTCCAAACGGATATCTTTCCCGAAGGACGCCGTTTTCAGCTCCATTCAGATTAGACGGCCGTCCTCCCCCGAATACAACGCACCCTGACCGTACGGGGACCGGCTTATAGCTTAAACACACTCAGAGCATACTCACTCTAGCAATCAGTTAAATCGATCTGACCGCAATTAACGGCCGGACCAGGACGTATCTGACCCCAATTACGTCCAGAAACTAGTAGAGAAATCCTAGCGTGTGTATGGCCTCACTCACGATCAGGGTGCGTTGAGTTCGGGGAGAAGATGGCTCGAGTAGTTTTGCACATTATAAACCTGAGCGGGCTGGCAGAGTGCAGCGCTGCAGCGCAGGCCCGACCCGCGCAATTCCCACTATGTTCAGGTGCATTCAGATCAGGCTGTTTCTTTGACATTCTAAACCTGATGGCGCTGTAAGTAACATTTGTGATTTTTTTTTTTTTTTTTAAGGCGGTGGGGTGCAGGGGCAAGGGTGGAGGTGAGAGAGGAAGCCGCGCCGGTGCCACCCTAAACCCTAGGCTCGGGAAGGTGGGGCCCGGCGAGAGAGAGAGAGAGAGAGAGAGAGAGAGAGAGAGAGAGAGAGAGAGAGAGAGAGGAAGCCGCGCCGGTGCCACCCTAAACCCTAGGCTCGGGAAGGTGGGGGCCACCGAGAGAGAGAGAGAGAGAGAGAGAGAGAGAGAGAGAGAGAGAGATGGCGGCGATATCGATATCAGATGGTCGGGTGCGATGGATCATTGAGAAGCTGATGGAGTCGTTCGGGTTCCCGGATACGACGATTCCAGACGCTGTTCTGAGCGAGGAGTACCCTCTTTCTCAGGTGAAGAGGTTCTTCCAGCCGGATGGGCCATCGAACCTTTTGTTCTTCTACCAGGTACCCACCATTCAAACGGCGGAGGGGGAGTATGTGGTGGCCAGCAACGAGCCCAAGCTGTTCTTTGCAGGAGGGGATTCTGTCCAGTTCCGTGGCAAGGCCGTTTTTTTCATTCGAACGGCAGAAAAGGAGGTGAATGAGAAAACTATCAAGCAGGATGTTGTGGTCGGTGAAGTTTGCCGGGCACCCTTGGAGGGCCTTAGGACTCTTATGATGGACCTGTTCTTGCCCGTCTTGCGCGAACAGCTAGCTTGGGGCAAATCTACCGAAGAAAATGTCCACGAGTTCCTGGCTAATGTCACCAAATTTGGGTTTGCGCTCAACGAGGCTGTCAACAGCTTGCATGGGGGTGTTGAGCTTAAGAAGGCTGATAAGAAATGGCTAGAGTTCGTGGAGCTGAAGCCATCGTCTTTCACGAAAGCGGCGGCGGATAGCGAAATCTTAGACCACGTGGAACAGGTGCTGGACGATTGGTGCACACAGACGGAGAAGTTGTTGAGCGAGGGGGAGATGGCGCGCAAAGAACCAGACGATGTGGGTCCGGACACGGAGTTAGAGTTCTGGAGAAGAAGGTTGGCGAAGCTGAACTCGATCACCGAGCAGCTGAAGAGCAAGGAGTGCAAGCTCGTGCTTGGTGTCACGCAAGCGGCTCGCAGCAAAGCGTATCGCAGCTGGAAGCAGATAGATCTGAGGGTGACCGACGCGGCGAACGAAGCCAAGGATAACGTCAAGTACCTGACCACTCTGGAGAAGAGCCTGGAACCCATGTACCTCGGCACCCCTCAAACGATAATCGAAAGTTTGCCAGTCCTCATGAGCAACATAAAGATGATGCATTCCATCGCGCGATACTACAACACCGCAGAAAGAATGACCGTTCTTTTCGTCAAAGTGACAAATCAGATGATCACCAAGTGCAAGGAATTCATAAAGGGCCCGGGCAAGCTGTGGGAGCAGGACAAAGCGAGTCTGATTCAGAACTTGGAACTGTGCATCAGGCTGAACGAACAGTACCAGGAGCAGTATCGGCAGACGAGGGACAAGCTGCAGTCGCAGGCGAAAGGCAAGCAGTTCGACTTCAACGAGCAGCGAATCTTCCATAAGTTTGACGTGTTCTGCAAGCGACTGACCAAGCTGGTGGATATGTTTACCACTGTCCATCAGTTTGGCAGTCTGGAGCAACATAGTCACATCGAAGGCCTCGGGGAGATGATAAAGACCTTCTTCTCGATCGTCGAGGACTTCAAGAAGAAACCTTATGACCTCTTGGACTTCTCCAAGAACCAGTTTGACCGAGACTACTTGGAATTCAACGTCAACATTCATGACCTGGAAACCACCCTGCAGGGGTTCATCAACTCCAGTTTCGAGAACATAACTTCCACGGAGCATGCCCTCAACTTGCTCCGACTTTTTCAGGCCATTCTGCAGCGGGACTCGCTCAAAGGCGACTTGGACGACAAGTACATGGTCATCTTCCAGAACTATGGGCTTGATCTGGAGGCCATCCAGAAGATCTACGAGAAGTACAAACACAACCCTCCCTTGGTTAGGAACGCGCCGCCTGTGGCAGGAAACATCATGTGGGCAAGGCAACTGCTTCGCCGGATCGAGGACCCGATGAAAAGGTTCGCGGGGAACAAGAGCATCATGGCGACCAAGGAGAGCAAGAGGATCATCCGGATGTACAACAAGGTGGCGAGGGCGCTGGTGGAGTTTGAACTGCTCTGGCACCAGGCGTGGCTGAAGAACATAGATGCAATGAAGGCAGGGTTGCAGGCGACGTTGATAGTGAAGCATCCCGAAAACGGCAACCTGCTGGTGAATTTCGACAAGGACATATTGCAGCTGATGAGGGAGACGAAGTTCCTGCAGCGTATGCACATCGAGGTGCCGGAGGCGGCGAAGATGGTTCTACTGCAAGAGGACAAGTTCAAGTACTACTTCAATCAGCTAACATACGTTCTGAAAGAGTATGAGAGGGTCATGCACAACATTCGATCCGTAACTAGACCTCTGCTGGGACCGCATTTGGATGACCTGGATAAGAAGATCCACCCAGGGATGTACATCCTCACGTGGACCAGCATGAACATTGACGGTTACTTGCAGAGGATTTACACAGGACTGCAGCGGTTGGAGGAGCTGGTGCGCAAGATGAACGACATGGTGGACAACCGAATAGAAGCAAACCTCAAGGGAATCAGCAAGACGAGCTTGATAGACCTGCCACCAGACCATTCCTTCACATTCGACGACTTCGTGTCCACACAAAGCAGGTTCATAAAGAGGCAGACGGAGACGATGGAGGTCAAGAACCTGGAGGTGGAGAGGGCCGTGAACGATCTGATTGAGCTGGTGGCCACGAATCCTCGAGAGAACATGGACGTGCACATTCCTGATGCAGAGATGGCGAAGTTCAAAAACCACTACAGCAAGCTGATGTACCAAGCTATTCTGACGGCCACCAAGAACACGTTTGTTGCTTTGCGACGGAGGCTAGGCTCGCGCGTATCGCACGCATCAACGGGGTTGTTGCCGTCGGCCGAGATCCCCTTCTTTGAGGTGGATGTGGAGCTTACTATCCCCAATGTGAGCATGAACCCAAGCCTGGACGACATACAGAATGCCATCAACACGGCTGCAAAGAAGGTGTTGAGATGCAGTGCGGAGCTCAAGGCTTGGAACGCCGTGAGGTCGACGAGTGACATTCCGGGCGCGACGTTCTACGACCTGATTGCTGCGGACAAGGAGATTGTGAAATCGGTTCTGCTGCTGACGGGCAGCATCGAAGGCACCAAGCAGCAGGTTGTGGATTACATTCGCAAGTTTGACAAGTACGATTTCCTGTGGAAGCGAGACATGCAGGCGGAGTATGCAGAGTTCATGCGCACGGGGCCGAACCTGGAAGCCTTTGAGAACGAGCTACAAAAGTACATGGCCATAGAGACGGAGATTGCAAACATACCTGCTGTGCATCACATAGGAGCCCTATCACTGGAGACCCAGCCGATGAAGTACTCTCTCAAGGCAGAGGCCGCATCGTGGAAGGCTCAGTTCGCCAAGAACCTCCACCATCAAGCTTATGAAGACCTGAAGGTGTTCCATGTCTACATCAAGGAAACAACCTCTAAGCTCAATGTTCAGATCAAGGATTTGGAGGACGTCCGAATTGCAATGGCCGTGCTCAAGGAGGTTCGTGAGAAGGAGGCAGAGATTGAATCCATAATGACACCCATTGAGGACATGTACAGTTTGCTTCACAAGTACGAGGTTCGGATCCCGAAAGAGGAGAACGAGCAGCTTGGAGACCTCAGAGTCAACTGGAAGAAGATGAGAAAGCTGGCGACCGATGTGTCAGACAACCTTGCGCGTCTTCAGATAGGATTCAAGCGAGATCTTGTGAAGGAGGTGAAGACTTTCGTTGTGGATGTGGGCCAGTTCAGAACGGACTTTGAGCAGAACGGGCCTATGCAGCCAGGGATCGCGGCACAGGAGGCAGTGGATCGCTTGAGGAAGTACCAGCAGATGTTTGAAGTTCGGAAGCACAAGTGGGCGACGTACAGCGCCGGAGAGGAGCTGTTCGGACTTGCCGTAACGAGCTACCCGGACATGGAGAAGATGGAGAAGGAGCTGGGCTTGCTGGACAGATTGTACTCGCTGTACACGAACGTCATTAGCACCATTAGCGGCTATGCTGACATATATTGGGTGGAAGTAGTGAGCAACATCGACGCAATGCAGGAGGAGGTGCTGGCATTTCAGCACACATGCAAGAAGCTCCCCAGGGGGCTCCGAGGCTGGGAGGCCTACACAGTTTGCAAGAAGACGATCGACGACTTTCTGGAAGTGTTGCCTCTGCTGCAGCTGCTGAGCAGCAAGGCGATGAGAAACCGGCACTGGCAACAGCTAATGCAGGTCTGCAACAAACAGCTCAATCTGGCTGAGGATATAATGAAACTGTCCCATCTATTTGAGTCCAACTTGCTCGCCCATCGGGAGGAGATAGAGGAGCTGTGCAATGCGGCAACAAGGGAGGAGCAAGTAGAGCTGAAGCTTGCCCAGATTGCGGATGAGTGGGCCGAGCAGGTGTTCACCTTCAACAGCTACAAGAACAGGGGCCAGGTCGTCCTTAAAAGTGCTGAGACCGCAGAGATCGTCGAAAAGCTCGAGGACAGTCAACTGGCCCTGGGTTCCATGGCTGCCAATCGCTACAGCTCTCCATTTCGCGAAGAACTTAATTCTTGGATTGTCAAGCTGTCAAGCGTCAGCGAGATCATTGAGATGTGGCTTCAGGTACAGAACATGTGGATGTACATGGAATCGGTCTTCTCCGGCGGCGATATCGCCAAGCAACTGCCCCAGGAGGCTAAGCGGTTTCAGAACATCGACAAGAACTACATGAAGATCGTGAACAACACCTCCGAGGTCCGGAACGTCATTCAGTCTTGTTTCGGTAACGAGCTGATGAAGAACCTTCTTCCTCACCTCATCGAGCAGCTGGAACTTTGCCAGAAGTCTCTGGCCACTTACCTGGAGACCAAGAGAGCCGAGTTCCCGCGCTTCTATTTCGTCTCCGACCCCACGTTGCTGGAAATCTTGTCCATGGGGTCTGATCCTCAAGCGGTGCAACCTCACTTCCAGTCTGGACTTTTCGATGCCATTGCTGCTGTCACGTTTGACAGGTTTGACAAGTCGAAGATTCTTGAGATGCACAGCGTCCAAGGTGAGATCGTCAAGCTTGAAGAGCCCGTCATTGCAGTTGGCAACATCGAGGATTGGCTCAAGAAGCTTGTTGCCGGCATGCAGTCCACGGTGAAGAAGATCATCAAGCGGGCCTACGACGAGGTGAATGTCATCCCGATCGGAGAGTTCGTGTTCAAGTATCCAGCCCAAGCTGTTCTGATTGGGCTCCAGTTCCTGTGGACCGCGGACAGCCAGATTGCTCTGGCATCTGTCAAGAGCGACAAATCGTCGATGAACAAGGTGATGAAAAAGTTTGATGCCATTCTTCGGGAGCTGGTGGATATCACCACCAGGGACCTAGGGAAGAATGAGAGGACCAACATCGAGACAATGGTGACTGTGCATGTCAACCAAAGGGATACGTTTGAGGATCTGCTGAGGAAGAAGGTCAAAGACCCTATGGATTTCGAATGGTTAAAGCAGTGTCGCATCTACTGGCGGGAGGATATCGATGGGATTCTTATCTCGATAGCTGATGTTGACTTCGAGTACAGTTTTGAATACCTGGGCGTCAAGGAGCGATTGGTTGTCACGCCTCTGACTAATCGGTGCTACATCACACTGTCCCAGGCCCTGGGAATGTTCCTTGGGGGGGCACCTGCGGGTCCCGCTGGGACAGGCAAAACGGAGACAACCAAAGACTTGGGTGCTACCTTAGGTAAGTACGTTGTTGTCTTCAACTGCAGCGATCAGATGGACTACAAGGGAATGGGAAAGATCTTCAAAGGCCTGGCACAGTCGGGACTTTGGGGCTGTTTTGACGAGTTCAATCGTATCAATTTGGATGTTCTGTCTGTCTGCGCCCAGCAGCTGTTCTGTATCCTCTCGGCAGTGAGAGAACGGAAGCCCAGCTTTGTCTTCACTGATGGCACGGTCACACCGCTGGACGCGAGGGCTGGTTTCTTTGTCACCATGAATCCGGGCTATGCTGGTCGGCAGGAGTTGCCGGAAAATCTGAAATCACTCTTCCGAGGCGTCACCATGATGGTACCCAACCGGCAGATCATCATCAAGGTCAAGCTTGCATCTTGCGGTTACCAGGACAATGACATCCTTGCCAAGAAGTTCTTCGTCCTCTACGGCCTGTGCGAGCAGCAACTGAGCAAGCAGCCTCACTACGACTTTGGACTTCGAAACATCTTGTCTGTGCTGAGAACTGCTGGAGGACAGAAACGAGAGAACGCAGGCAAGTCGGAGCAGTTCCTTATGATGCGGACTCTGAGGGATCTGAACCTGTCCAAGTTTGTGGCCGAGGACGTGCCTCTGTTCTTGTCCCTGATAGAGGATTTGTTTCCTGGGATCATCGCCGAGAAGGCCACGTTCAAGGACGTGGAGGATGCACTGCTAAGACAAGTGAAAGAAAAGACACTCCAACCTCATCCTAGCTGGCTGGAGAAGTGCGTCCAGTTGTATGAAACGTACCTTGTACGGCATGGAATCATGCTAGTGGGTCCGACAGGCGGTGGCAAGACCATGATCTGCACCTGTTTAGCTGGAGCTCTGAGCGAGGTAACGATCAAACACGTGATCTGGCGGATGAATCCCAAGTCCATCACGACTCCGCAGATGTTTGGTCGACTGGATACCGCTACGGGCGACTGGACGGATGGGGTCTTCTCTGTTCTCTGGCGAAAGGCGGCACGTAGCAAGAACCAGAACACTTGGATCGTCCTGGATGGCCCTGTTGACACCTTTTGGATTGAGAGTCTTAACTCCGTGCTTGACGACAACAAACTGCTTACGCTTGCTAACGGCGATCGCATACCGATGATTCCAAACATGAAAGCCATGGTGGAGACAGAGCACCTGGCCAACGCCTCCCCGGCTACTGTTTCCAGGTGTGGCATCATCTACGTGAGTGAGACGGAGCTTGGATGGGAGCCGGTTGTTGCTTCGTGGCTTGAAGATCGGAAGCCAGCAGAAGTTGCACTGCTCAAACCGCTGTTTGACAAGTATGTGCCTGCAATGCTGACTTTTGTGAGGCTTGAGGTGAAGGAGGTCATGAAGAATCAGCCTGTGTGTCAAGTCAATACTTTGCTGATTTTGCTGAACGCCTGTTTGCAAAAGGCAGCGGAGCGCAGCACTGAGGCTTTGGCAGAGGACCAGTGTGAGCGGATCTTCCTCTACGTGTTGACCTGGTCCATTGGCGGTCTGCTCAACTTGAGCGATCGATCTAAGTTCGACAAGAAGCTTCGAGGGATCACAGAAAACATGCCAGATGTGGAGGAAGGCAGTGACGATACCATTTTTGAGTACCGGATCGGGGCCGAGCAGGCCACCTGGGAGCATTGGAAGGACCACGTTCCTGACTGGAAGTATCCCGCAAAGGTAAAGGAGCCTAAGCTCTCCCAGTTGCTGATTCCCACTCTGGACAGCATCAGGCTGGAGGCGCTGATCGAGTTAGTGGTCTTGGACATGAAGGCAACCCTCTTCGTGGGTGGACCTGGCACAGCGAAGACTGTCACGGTCAACCAGTACCTTTCCAAACTGAACCTAGACGAGATGAACCACAAATCCATCAGCTTCTCAAGCCTGACAACGCCGAAGATCTTTCAGAGCAGCGTGGAAGGAGTGGTGGAGAAGAGGCAGGGCAGGACATTCGGACCGCCTGGAGGCAAGCGCATGGTACTCTTCATTGACGACTTATCTATGCCGGCATTCAATGAATGGGGAGACCAAGTGACGAACGAGATCGTCCGGCAGCTTCTCGAACAAGGCGGGTTCTACAGTCTGGAGCGCCCAGGTGATTTGAAGAAGATTGTTGACGTCCTTTACTTGGCGGCAATGAACGAGCCCACAGGCGGAAAGAATGATGTTCCCTCGAGACTTAAGCGACATTTTGCCTGCTTCAACGTTCCTATGCCATCGATGATTGCGATCAAATCTATCTACGGCACACTGGTTGCTGGGCGCTTCCCTCCCGACATGTTCACGGACAGTGTGATAGAGGTGGTTAATGGACTCGTGGGGATCACCGTGACCCTCTGGAACACCATCGCCACCAAGATGCTTCCCACTCCTGCCAAGTTCCACTACATCTTCAACATGCGGGACCTGTCCCGCGTTTTCCAGGGTATTCTCCATGCCGAGAGGGATCGGTTCCACAAGGATTCTACCAAGCCGTTTGCAGGGCAGGTTACGACCAAGGAGGGGTACTTACTGGCCTTGTGGCGGCACGAGTGTGAGCGAGTGTTTGGCGACAAGTTGACGACTCCTGCGGACAAGGACTGGGTCACTCTGACCATATTGGCCCTCAGTACAGAGACCTTTGGTGCAGCCCTAACCACTGAGATCTCTGAGCCTCTGTACTTCGTCGATTTCCTCCGCGATGTGGAAGAAGATCAGGATGGATACGTCATCGATGAACACCCAAAGAATTACGAGACTGTGAGGGACTTGACGGAGCTGAGGGAGAGGGTGGAGGCTCTGCAGAGGAAGATGAACAATGAGAACAAGGCCGGGAAAGTTGAGCTGGTGCTCTTCGAAGACGCTCTGAAGCATATTGCCCGGATCACTCGAGTGTTGGGAGTGGACCATGGTTGTGCACTGCTGGTCGGCGTTGGAGGCTCCGGAAAGCAGAGTTTGACCCGCCTGGCCGCTTATATCTCTGGAGCTTATCCTGTTCAGCTGACGATCACGAAGACGTATTCCATCCCCAACCTGCTTGACGACATCAAGGGGATGTACAAGGTTGCAGGCTTCAAAGGACAGGCAGTGGCGTTCATCTTCAGCGACACGGAAGTGAAGGAGGAATCCTTCCTCGAGTATGTGAACCAGATGTTGATGACAGGGGAGGTGTCCGGACTCTTTCCGAAGGACGAGATAGACATGATCATCAACGATATGCGCACGGTGATGCGAGCAGCCTCTCCCACAACACCGGATACATATGACAACCTCTACCGTTTCTTCATGGATCGAGTCAGGGACAACCTGCACATCATCTTGTGCTTCTCCCCCGTCGGTGTCAAGTTCTCGCAGAGGGCCTTGCAGTTCCCAGGGCTGATCAACGGTTGCACCATAGACTGGTTTCTGCCCTGGCCTGTGCAGGCACTGAAGGGTGTGGCTGCGAAGTTCATCTCCAGCTTTCAGATGGAGAGCACCCAGAAGGTCAAGGAAGAGCTGATCGACCACATGGCATATGTTCATAATACTGTCACGGCTGTGTGCTCTGACTACTTCGACAAGTATCGACGCCACGTGTACGTCACGCCGAAGAGTTACTTGTCCTTCATCAATGGCTTCAAGAGCCTCTACTCAAAGAAGTATTCCGAGATCAAGGAGCTCTCCGACAAGATAGTCAATGGTTTGGGCAAGCTCAATCAAGCGAAAACAGATGTGAGGAGGATGAAGGTGGAGCTGGCTGCAAAACATGTGTCGCTTGCTGAGGCTCAGAAGGTCTCTGAGACGCTTCTGAAGGAAATCAGTGCCAGCACGGCCATGGCAGAGAAGGAGAAGGCCAGGGTCGCGGGCATTCAGAGCAAAGCCAAGAGTATGGCTGACGAAATCGGCAAGACGAAAGCAGAGGCCGAGGAAGATCTTGCTGCTGCTAAGCCCGCCCTGGATGACGCCATAGCCGCACTCTCCTTGATCACTGGCAGGGATATCAGCACCCTCAAGCAGTTGAAGAAGCCCCCTGACATTATCAAGAGGATCATGGACTCCTGTCTGCTGCTCAAACACCAGCCTATCAACAGGGTGGAGTATGAAGACCTGAAGGGTGAGATGGTGATTGTGTCGACGTACAGCCAGTCGTTGGTAATGATGAGTGACATCCGGTTCCTGGACAGTTTGACAAACTTCCCTAAGGAGCAGATCAATGACGAGACTGTTGAACTGCTTCAGCCCTATTTCATGGCCAGCGACTTCACCTACGAGGCGGCCAAGAAGGCATCCGGTAATGTTGCGGGGCTGTGTTCCTGGACCCGAGCTATGTGCGCCTATCACGAAATTGCCAAGGTTGTGGAGCCGAAGATACAGAAGCTGAGAGACAGTGAGCAGCAGTTTAAAGTAGCCACCAAGAAATTGCAGGAGGCAGAGGAGTCCATGGCCAAGGTCCAGGCAGAGCTGGATAAAATGCAAGCTCAGTTTGAAGCAGCCATGAAGGAGAAGAGGAAGCTGGAAGAGGATGCTGACAAGACTCAGAAGCGCATGGACGCAGCCAACTCTCTTATCAACGCTCTTGCTGGGGAGGAGGTGCGGTGGACGTCCCAGAGTCATGAGTTCGCCGCCACTATTCAGCAACTCACAGGGGACTGTGCACTGGCGTCATCCTTCGTCTCCTATGCTGGAACGTTCAACAAGGAATTCCGGGAAACCCTCATAAACAGAGAGTTCTTCAAGGACATTTTCAACCGCAACATTCCAGCAACGCAGGGGCTAGGTGTGACCAAATTTCTGGTGGACGATTCCGAGGCGTCGGAGTGGAAGTTGCAGGGCCTGCCAACTGACGAGCTCAGCGTGCAGAATGGCATACTGGTCACCCATGCGACGCGCTTTCCTCTGATGGTCGATCCACAGGGGCAGGGACTGGTGTGGATCAAGAGGAGGGAGGCAGTTAACAACATCAAAGTGACAACGCTGAATGACAAGTCATTCAGGAGCCACCTGGACGAGTGTCTGTCCACGGGAAGGCCGATGCTCATCGAGAACGTGGAAGAAGAATTGGACCCGGTGCTAGACCCGGTGCTCGAGAAGCGATGGCAGAAGGCCGGGAAGGGCCTGAAGGTTGCGCTGGTGGACAAGGAGGTGGACTTCAAGCCCAGCTTCCAGCTGTTCATGACCACGAGGTTGGCTAATCCACACCTAACTCCGGAGCTGAGTGCCAAGGTGACCGTGATAGATTTCACGGTGACGATGGCTGGCCTGGAGGACCAACTGCTGGGAAGGCTTATCCTGAAGGAGAAGCACGACTTGGAGGAGCAGAGGCGAAAATTGCTGGAGGAGGTCACAAGTTACAAGAAGAAGATCAAGCAGCTCGAGGATGACCTGCTGTACCGTCTCTCTGCATCCACTGGCAACCTTCTTGATGACACGGAGCTGGTCGAAGTCCTTGCGGTCACGAAGCAGACCGCTCAGGACGTCAATGAGAGGCTAGCGACAGCAACCGAAACCAACAAGAAGATCACCGAGGCCTGTGAGGAGTACAGGCCGGTGGCCAAGCGGGCCACCATCGTCTACTTCCTCATCGCGGAATTTAGCAATGTCAATGTCATGTATCAGACTTCACTGAAGCGGTTTGGCCAACTGTATGAGTATGCCATCGACCACTCGGAGAAGGCTGTGATGCCCAGCAAACGCATCCATAACATCGTAGAGTACCTGACGTTCAGTGTGTACAGGTACATACTGCGGGGTCTCTTCGAGAGGGACAGGGTGACATTTGCTCTCATGTTGGCTATGAAGCTTCTACTTGCAGACAGGAAGTTGTCAGAGAACGAGGTCAGCACCTTCCTCAAGGGAGGGGCTGCCCTGGACATCCACACGGTTCGCCGTAAACCTCGCGAGTGGATTCTGGACTCCGTTTGGCTGAATGCCATCGCCGTGACAAACCTGGTTCAGTTTCAGGACCTGGTCGACTCCCTGATCCGGAACGACGCGGCATGGAAGCAATGGTATGACCAGGAAGCTCCGGAAGCTTCCAAGGTGCCCGATTATGAAGACAGACTATCCAAGTTTGACAAAATGCTTCTCGTCAAGACCTTCCGGGAGGATCGAACTTTGCTTGCAGCATCGGAGTTCATCTCCGAAAGCCTTGGAGCTAGGTACATGGAATCTATACCTTTGTCCATGGAGAACACCTGGCAGGATTCTGACAACAAAACGCCAATCATCTGCATCCTCTCACCGGGAGCAGATCCAACCAAGCAGATCGAGGACTTTGCCAAAAAGAAGAAGTTTAAGGTTTTGGGAGTGTCTATGGGCCAAGGCCAAGAGATAATAGCCCGCAAGTACATGGCCACGGCTGTGCAGGAAGGCAACTGGGTTCTGCTTCAGAACACCCACCTGGGATTAGGCTACCTGTCCGAGGTGGAGCAGTTTGTGACAAAGACCGAGGAGATGCACGACGACTTCCGCATATGGATAACCGCTGAACCTCATCCCCGCTTCCCGATCGGTCTTCTCCACGTCTCCATAAAGATGACAAATGAGGCCCCCGTTGGCATGAAGGCGGGCCTCAGGAATTCGTTCCAGTGGTTGACTCAAGACATGCTGGAGGCTGTTCCCCGACCTGAATGGCGCCAGCTCCTCTTCGTCATGTGCTTCCTACACAGCATTGTCCAGGAGCGGCGCAAGTTTTGCCCCATAGGCTGGAATGTCCCTTACGAGTTCAACCAGAGCGATCTGTCAGCCTCTGTGCAGTTCTTAGAAAACCATCTGATGGATATGGATGCCAAGAAGAGCAGCCACATCCACATAGCCTGGACCACCGTACGATACATGGTCGCAGAGATCCAGTACGGAGGCCGCATTACGGACGACTTCGATCGTATTCTGATGAACGCATTCGCCGAGCAGTACTTCCATCAAGGCATTCTCGAGAAGAACTGTCAGCTGTTCCCTGGGTACGTGGTGCCCTATGCAACCGAGATCGCCATCTTCCGTACAGCAATAGAGGCCCTGCCACCACATGAAAGTCCAGAGCTGTTCGGTATGCACGCGAACGCAGAGTTGACGTATCGGACTCTTCAAGTGAAGGAGGTGATCAGGACAATCATCGACACTCAACCGAAGACGGCCACAGCGGGGGCAGGCATGTCGAGGGAGGATATGGTAGACAAGATTGCCGAAGACCTGCTAGCAAAGATGCCTGCAGCTTTCAAGGTGGAAGAAACCAAGGACAAGCTGAAGAAGCTTCCCGGCAACGTCACCGCTCCTCTGAATGTGCACCTCAAACAGGAGATCGACAGGCTCAATCTTGTCATCTCTATGGCGGAATCCAATCTCCAAAACCTTCGGCTGGCTATTAAGGGCTCCATAGCGCTGAGTACCGCGCTCAAGGACACTCTTGATGCCCTGCATGATGCTCGACCTCCCAAGCTCTGGATCCCCAAGTCCTGGGAAGCGTCCACCTTAGGTTCCTGGTTCACCGGTCTCATCCAGCGACATGACCAGCTCACAAAATGGCTCAACTTGGGCCGTCCTAAGGCCTTTTGGTTGACCGGGTTTTTCAACCCCCAAGGCTTCCTCACGGCCATGAAGCAGGAAGTCAATCGTAAACACGCTGCGGAGAAATGGGCCCTGGATGACGTCATCATGTATTCCGAAGTCACGCATCCGGTGAAGGAGCTGGAGAATTTGAAGGAAGGTCCAGCAGAAGGTGTGTACATATACGGTCTCTTCGTTGAGGGCTGCGCCTGGAGTAACAAGGAAAACAGGCTCGTCGACTCTGAGCCGAAGAAGCTGTTCCATCCTCTTCCCATCTTGTACGTAACAGGGGTTTTAGCGTCTCAGAAAAAAGGCGACCAGACCTACAGTGCACCCACTTACCGTGTCAAAAGGAGGACCAGCAACACCTTCATCACCACCTTTGACCTGCGCACAGAGGACTCCCCCTCTAAGTGGATCCTGAGGGGTGCAGCAGTGTTGTGTGCGATTGATTGATCGATGATTGACCGAGTGATTGAAATTTGAAACGGATTTTATTGGCTAGTCAACTCGTCATGAGCCTATGACGGGTGGATGGATCATTATCACCTCCTCGTCAGCAACTGCTCTGTCAATTGGTTCATTTTCTTGAAATCCCACGCTTTGCGCATTTGCATTGGATTAGAGATAACGTCATGTCTGGTCGATGGATGGATGCCTTTTTGGGCGACATCGAGGCGAAGACTGTCATGCAGGAGAGGCAAAAGACAAGAATCAGATAGCTGGAAAACATTCGACCATGCCAACATAGAGCATGAAGGGGGGTCCTCTTCGGGACCACGGCTTAGCACTGTCACATCGCTAACATAACCAGAGATCAGATGTTGTGTCAGAGCTCCGGGAGAACGAAGGAAAGGGAGAAGAAACAGAAGAGGGATGTTCGAGGAGAAGAGGGAGGATGAATATCGGATGTTATGCCAAAGTTCCGTGAGACTGAAGGAATAAGAGATAGAAGGAGAGGGAAAAAAGAAACATCATCATATGTTAAGTTATCATAGCAGACCTACGACAATTCCCCTTGGCGGTGTGCGGCATTGGTACCTCAGGTCTCCGGCGTGTCACTTTGGGGAACCCCGGAATCTGAGTCTGAGTGCGGTGCACCCCGTTGCCGGCGATTGAGTAACACCGGTCTTGGTTGATAGACTCGATACCCCCTGTGTGTCCGCGTGGGTTGAGGTTGAGCGTCCTAATCTTGAGAGCTCCCTGTGTAAGTGGGTGAGTTCACCGTGCCATCAGAAGGCTGAACCCGGTTTGTCCAGCGTCCTGACGGACTTCCAAACCCTTTTCAAAAAAGAAAAATGAAGTTCCGTGCGGAGAGGGGGGAGAAAGGAGAGGAGAGAGACAGGGATGTTAGAGGAGGAGAAGAAGGGGAAAAGCGTGGAAGAGAGTAGAGTCACAAGTGGAAGGACGATGAGAAACGACAGGGGGACTGCAGGCTTTCCAAGGTCTGGATGGCAGAGCGCAGAGGAGCAAAAAAAACGACTGAGAAGGTACCACAGAGACACACAGAGGCAAAAGGCAGGACGTAAGAGTGTGAAGAGTCAGGGGAGACGCACGGTGGAGATTACAAAGGCAAATGGGGTGGTATGGGAAGGGTTTTACAGCAATGGTGCTCTTTCTCAGGTACCAAGGGTGGGCAGAAGAGAATGAAATGAAGAGCAAGAGACACACAGAGGCAAAAGGCAGGACATAGGAGTGAGAAGAGTCAGGGGAGACGCACGGTGGACATTACGAAGGCAAATGGGGTGGTATGGGAAGGGTTTTACAGCAATGGTGCTCTCTCTCAGGTACCAAGGGTGGGCAGAAGAGCATGAAATGAAGAGCAAGTAGACCGAAGTGAGGAGATCACTGGGATATGAAAGAGAGGAAGCACTTGCTGAAGCAGACAAGCTATGGGCAAAGGAGACAGAGTGGCAAAACGAACGAAAAGGCAGAGCAAGACTAGAGAATCATGGATGCAGTCTCCCTCAAGCACATGGGAAAGAGAACAGAGGAATGTATGCGTGTGCGTGTGGTGGGGAGAGATAGATAGATAGATAGATAGATAGATAGATAGATAGATAGATAGATAGATAGATAGATAGANNNNAGAGAGAGAGAGAGAGAGAGAGAGAGAGAGAGAGAGAGAGAGAGAGAGAGAGAGAGAGAGAGAGAGAGAGAGAGAGAGAGAGAGAGACATTTTGCCATCCTTTGTATGACATGAGGTTCTCTTCTTGTTTGTTGAACAACATTGAGCCTACCATCTTCCTCCGAATAGAACGTACAGTCATTATGAGAATTTGTAACTGTATTGTGGGCAATTTTCAGTCTAGATTCATTCGGATGAAGACAGCATTGACACACTGGTGAGAGTGCCAGACCTGCTAGCATCACAGCCAACCTGCAACAGCAGCGAGAGCCTAACATTGACAGCTTGCTTTCTTCTGGTATCTGAACTTGGGTTACTTGGACAGAATGGAGGAAAGTGCGGTGTTGCTTATTTGTAAGTGATGCTGAACCCGTTTTGCGGCAACAATGAAATTTGCTTAAAACTTCAAAAGAAGAAGAAGAAGAAGAAGAAGAAGAAGAAGAAGAAGAAGAAGAAGAGGAGGAGCAGGAGGAGGAGGAGGAGGAGGAGGAGGAGGAGGAAGAAGAAGAAGAAGAGGAGGAGGAAGAAGAAGAAGAGGAGGAGGAGGAAGAAGAAGAAGAAGAATAGGAAGGAGAAGAGGAGGAAGAAGAGGAGGAGGAGGAAGAAGAAGAGGAGGAGCAAGAAGAAGAAAAAGAGGGAGGAGAAGAGGATGAAGAAAAGAAGACGAAGAAGAGGAACATCCCATGCACTAAGTACCCAGATATCCCTCCGACAAGCCTACCCCCCCCCTATAACAACCATGGACGAGGAAATAGGCAGTGTCTGTAGTCCTTACGTTATTTCAGACTGAAGGGGGGGGTGTGCATGACCGTACGTCGGTTAACGCCCGCCGGTGGCAAATGCGCGAAAGTGCAGGTTGATACCACAATCCGCATTTCCAACTGATGCTCTCCCCACTGAGCGATTGACCATCCACAGCAGACACTTGTGTAATGCATTTAATTTTGATACTAGGGCCATCTGGGCTGCAGACAGCTGTGATCTGGAAACTCTTTATTTATTTATTTATTTATTTATTTATTTATTTATGAAGAACAGCCCGAGGTAGTGCTAGAGGCGCTGATAAGAGCAGACACCATTATTACTCTCGGGGAGGCTTCATCTATTGGTGGGGAGCAGCACCCACTGGAATCCGGGTCCAGTGTCCCAGAACATCATGCTTGCTTGTTTGTACAGACAACTGACTGTGGTGACTGGTAGCTGCCAGGCCCACCTCTAAAGGGAGAAGTTTAACCAGTGGACCTACACAACTACCCAGTAGCTGCCTATATGACAGTGTTAGTTAGGCGGCAGTCCCGTGGCCAGAATCCCCTTCCAATCTTGGGGCCAGGTAGTATCGCCTATGAGTGATTCTCAGTTCATGTAGGCAAGCTAGCCTCCCGTTCCCCTTCCCCCACCCATTGGAACATGAGTTATTACATAGTATTAAACATTGTTAGTTATCTTTCGGGGCTGCCACCAGCCACGGGCGTTTGACCTTTCAGCAAGTGTGCATTTGAGTCTTCAGTACGTCTTCGCTCATCCGCTGAGCGCCTGATCTGTCAAGAGCCCTCCTGGGTTTTGAGGGTTATAGTCCAAACTTCTAAACCCACAGCCCCATTTCTGTTTCTTTTATTACAAGCGAAGGTAAGGTAGTGGTGTAGAAGCATGTAAAGTCATTCTGGCCCTTCCGTTTGTGCAGTCTTTGGGGGCCGCTGTCATCGCAGCTCAGTGTCCGAAACATGCTTCTCTTGTCTTGCTCCCTCCTCGGCGGTAGCGCTCCATGTCATGGTCTTCTGCTGTCTTCCGTCGTGTCGAGCAGAGGACAGTTTGGTTGAAGCTCTCAAATGGAGAGGGTGCCGGTCCCCACATATTTCTTGTGATCAGTCTGAGCGCCGTTCCCCGGACAAGATGGTCAGCGGGCTGCAGGAAGTCTTAGAATTGATGCTCGGGCCAAAGGTGTAGCTCTTGTAGACTTTGCTGTCTTGTACTCTGTCTGTCCAATACCTCATGTCCTTTTCTCTGTTGTCGCACACCAGATGCTCCTCCCCATCGTTCGCAGCCGCAGTAGAGAAAGCTGGGTGGGAAAGGTGAGGGGACGGATGGGAAAGGTGAGGGGACGGAGGGGGCCAGGGGGGAGATGGCGGAGGGGGTAGCAGACGGGAAGCGAGGATGATGGCCTGGGCCGTGGGAGGGAGGTGGGGGTCACTGCAGAGCGGGGGCAGGGGCCATTGGCCGGTCGGGGTCATGAGAGCTCAGCAGAAAGTTGGTCGGAAGGTACGGGACTGCGAAGTCATCCAGAGGTCTCCTTTGCCACGCGGGCTCGTTCACCCTCCAGTTTATCCATCCTATATTGAGGTCATTCATCAATTCAGAAAAAGCTTTGTGAGGGTCTTGCCAGATCTGGCGATAGGACTCTCGCAAAGCTTCCTGGACAGCGGGGTCCCTTTCATTTTGATGGTCCCGTTTCATATCCTTCCAGGCCTGTTGTGTACTGGATCTGATCTCTCCTTCTATCGCTTGTTGTGGTTGCTGCAGGTCGAACTGATGCTCTTTTCTCTCAAAGGAACATCTAGCTCTCCAGGCTTGCATGAGGACGTGTAGCCTCATATACGAAAAAAGGTTATTGGCAAAGGATGACCAGTGGGCTAGCAGATGTTGATTTTTGCCAAGCAGGATGACGCCTAGGTCCCACGGGATATGGGTATCTGTGAGTGAATGGAACGCTGCATCCCACCACCTCCATATCTGGGCAGCCATTGGGCATGCTAACAGGCAATGTTCGAGTGTCACCCTGGCGGGCTGTGTCACCCTGCCACAGTAGGTGCAGATGGGGGACAACAGGCCTCTTTGTTCGAGGTCTGTTCTTGAGACGAGCCAGTCGGGGATGGGAAGACAGCGGTGCAAAATTTGTCATTGCAGGGACCGAAGGCTCGTCGGCATGATTTTGGAGTACTTAGCCCAAGGGAGGTTGTTGAGCAACTGTGGATTCAACGGTGAATCCCGCTCCCATCTGTGTGCAATTGTCTGTCCAATCTGCTTCTGTGGGCGAGACGCTCTGTACCCCCCTTCGACTGTGTAATCCCAAATATGCATGGGTTGTTGACCTGTCCATTCCCAGTCATCTGGGTCGAACGGAAGACGAGCAACCGGTGTGGCAGGCTCGAATGCATGGTAGCCGTTATCGAGGTCGCCCACGACTCTCACAGTCATCAGCCCTGCCCACAATTCTGTGGTATCCAAGTCCTCATCCCGGGCTAGTCGGGAGAGCCGCAGTCCTGGAGTGTGCTGGGCAAAACCTTCCAATTTGCAGTTCCTGGCTTCTATGTTGTGCACTTTGTAGACAGTTGCCGGTCTGGGCAGGTCAGCATACCTGACCCCCCAGTCTTGCGGTTGGATCGTTGGGCCGGTTTTGAGGGTTTGCCACCAGGCCAGGGGAAGGGCTTCTGTGATTTGGCGGGCCTTATCAGCCACGTTCTTTATGTGCTTCAGCTTGGTCTGCAGCTGCTCGGGTGTAGCCCAGTTCTGCTCGGTCGGGTCCCAAAGATCCCCCACCGTATAAATGCCTTTCTTTACCCAGGTGAGCCAGGGGGAGTTAGCTGTGAGCGGTAGTGGGTTGCCCCTTTCGTCCGAGATAAAGGGATTGCCAAATAGCAGCTGTCTCCATATGGAGTGCCATCTATTAGATGGAGACTTTTGTTTGGGCCCTTGTTTCCTCCATAGTTTTAACATGTATGGCCAGAGGGGGTCAAGGACCATGTCCTGGCTGGTGGCCAGCGCTACGCCTGTCGCATGCCTGTGTCGGCGGGGGCTTGGGATTGTCCAGTGGCTGTTGGTCAACCACTGAAGGGGGTGGACCCGGTTAGGAGAATCAGATTCGGGTGCCAGACTGGCTGTCTGCACGTAAGCTAAGGGGGACCATGGGATGTCATTCCCCACGAGGAGTCTGGTTAGCACTTTGAAGATCATGACCTCACTCTCACTCTCAGGATCCAGTATCCCCAGCCCCCCTTTGGATCTTGGTTGTGTGAGGGTGTCCCAACTCACCCTGCTCATGCAACCCTCCAATTTGGCGCTGTTCTTCCACAGGTATGTTGTGAGCGCCTTCCTCAGTTTGGTGTATTGTTGTGGGTTGAGCGGCCAAACTGACAGTTTGTACCATATGGCCGCGAGGATGGCGTGGTTGATTGCCAGCGCCCGACCGACCAATGATGTGTGCAGGCCTTACTATTGTGCCAGTCGGGCAATAGCCGTGTTCATGAGGACCTCTCCGTGGTCCGACGGAGGCCCCATTGCCGTCAGCCTCACTCCCAAAATCCTGACGGCGTCTTCCTTTCTGTCCCATGCCACACATGGGTCCGACGGCGGGGGCAAATCTTGGGGGTGGAGCCACCATTCCTCTGTCTTGGAACCCCAATTCACTTTCATGTCGTCCGCCAGTGAGAAGAGGTGTATGATGTGGGCGAGGGCGTGAAGGCTCTCTGCGTCTGCCCGTATGAGGACCGTGAGGTCGTCAGCAAACAACGACGTCATAGTGATTAGGTGATCCGGGATATCCGGGATAGGCACTTTACTGATTTTTGGGCGGACTCGAATCAACGCCGCCAGGGCCTCTATGACTATCACGAAGAGAAGTTGCGCTATGGGTTCCCCTTGTCGTACCGACCTCTGCAGCGCAATCGGCGGTGAGAGGTGACCATTTAGCATTATGTTTGTAGTGACCGTTCTATGGAGGAGTTGCACCCAGTGGTAGAGGCTGGGACCAAAGTTCATTCTGGTCAGGCACATATCCAGGAAGTCCCAGTCAATGTTGGTCATACACTTTCTCAAAGTCTATAAACAGAATAGCCGCTTGGGCTCTGCGCTGACGTGCATTCTCGATGGTTTCGTTGACCAAGAGGATATTGTCTTGAATATTGCGGTTGGGCATAAATCCTATCTAATCAGGCATGTTCATGGCCGACAATAGGCGAATGGTGAGTGCTTTTGGCCGCCAGTTTGTAGGGGACTGGGAGGAGAGTGATAGGCTAGTTTCTGATATCCTCTTTGTCCCCCTTTTTGTAGAGGAGCGTGGTCACTCCCTGACCAATCATGCCCCCAAAGGAGCCTTCTTTCTAGACAGCTGATACATAGTCCATGAGGTCATCTTTGAGGAGGTCCCAAAAGTGCACCCAGAACTCATTCGGGAAGGAGTCAATCCCGTACGTTTGCTCATCTTCCATATCCTGCAAGGCTGCCCATATTTCGTCTTGTGAGAGCGGTTTGTCCAGGTCAGTTTTTTGTGCTGGTGAGAGGCGCGATTGCACAGCTTGGAGTACTTCTTCCTTGACCTGACGGACATCAACCGAGTTCTTGTTGGTGGTTTGAGATGTGAACAAGTGCCTGTAATTTTGGCAGAGGCCCTCGTTCGGGCTTTCGCCTTATTA